AGTTGAGTTTTTTGTTGCGATCTCTTTTTAAAATTATGAATACATAATGTAAGGTAATAAAAAGTAAGATTAGAATTAAACAATGCAAAAAATACATAGCAAACGTATAATGGAAGCTATCACTATCACCCTAGCTTAAAAGCTACTGATTCCTGCACAGGTAGCCCCCACTCACACATAATCCCTCCCACACCTTATGTTGAGAAAGAAAGTATTTGGGTTGTCCTAGTATTTCACCAAATGCAGATCCATGAATACCTGGGATGATGTCCATTTAAGATAGCTTGTGGATGCCACCTTCTCTCAATAGAATCTCTGTGTTAGAGAATAGAAGTTCTCCTGCCATATTTCTGATTCTGGATTTCTGCTTTGATTCTTATCTACTGTGTTCTTGTTGAGGGGGCTCTTTGATCCCTGCTAAAAGCTGAGGAACTTATTTATACTTGCCAGTCTCCCTGATGGGAACTGAACACTCTCTCCAAAATTATCAGGCTAGTGCCAGTATCTCTTTAATGCACTCAGACTTAATTTTCAAGTATTTTCTTCGATTCCTTATTGGTTCCATTCTCCTCTCCTCCTTCTCCTTTCTCTTTTTACAATGTAAAATATTCTGATATGCTATTTTGGTATTGTTGACAATTGTCTAGTCATGATTTTAAGCCAAGAAAAACATAATATTAAAAAGCAGACTCACCAGGAAAGACTTCTCTGCTTTTCAGTATTCAGTAAGTATTTGTTGAGTGAGTAAATGAATGGATTAAAAATATGTTCCAAATATCACCAAGAAAATGGGAATTTTGATGAGATAAAGAATAGTGTTTAGAAAGATATATATTGGTCACTAGATGACAACTGTAAAAATTTAAGTGTAGCAAGTCTCAGAGACATACAACCCCTGGATTAATGAAATAAATATTTGAAAATGTTAACACCTCATTACCTGTGGTTGATAGCTTAACATCACTTACAAGTGTATTTGGGAAAGAAGAAGCACAGAATGAACATGCATGTTAAATTTTTGGCTACATATCTGCAAGTGCCTAAAAGTACAGTTGGAGCATGAATTGGAACCAGACTATTTTTTGAATATGAGTCATAGGCAGTCTTGAATAAGTACATAAATAAAAGAGAAAATATGTGACCTAGAAAATGTAGGGCCCAAAGTGTAGGGCACAGTGGAGTTTATTTTGAAGGGGGAAATGTAGAAAATACTTACAATACAAAATGGTTTCATGTTTCTCTCATTTCCCAGGTATCACTTCAGTCTAGGTACTGAACATCATTTATTATTAACACTGGGGTTTTGAGAATCACATGTTTTGACAGTGGTCACTTGCTTTTGATTCCTTCTTTGAGTAGTTTAATATGGATATAGGATGCCTGCACTTTAAGAGATTAGAATATAAAATAGCCTTGTCTAGGTGAGATATAGATGTCACATATTTATTCAAAAAGTTAGACTTAGTAGCTAGCATAAAGGCAGAAAGCAAATATATTCTTTCTCACCACTTTCCCTATCACCATATCGTATTAAGATATTCTTCCGGCCAGGCACAGGGACTCACATCTGTAATTCTAGCACTCTGGGAGGCCGAGGCGGGTGGATTGCTCAAGGTCAGGAGTTCAAAACCAGCCTGAGCAAGAGTGAGACCCTGTCTCTACTAAAAATAGAAAGAAATTAATTGGTCAACTAAAAATATATAGAAAAAGTTAGCCAGGCATGGTGGCGAATGCCTGTAGTCCCAGCCACTTGGGAGGCTGAGGTAGAAGGATTGCTTGAGCCCAGGAGTTTGAGGTTGCTGTGAGCTAGGCGGATGCCATGGCACTCACTCTAGCTGGGGCAACAAAGTGAGACTCTGTCTCAAAAAAAAAGGAGTTCACCATAAATCACATTGTTAACATAAACTATCTAGTATGCTTTAAGTCCCCAGGTATACAAAGACACTCTTACCAGGTAGGATATTCTAAGGGCTTGGAGGTTATCTCCCAAGAGCCAATCAAGGGGCACCCCTTTTTTTGTAACATGCAGAGTTTGAGACCCTTGAGCCTGCTAAGTTAATTCTTTATTGCATAACACCTTTGTGGGTTTTATTGAAATTCCTTCACATGTGCCGTCCCACCTGAAGTTCCCTGATATGAGTGATGCCTCCTTCTCCTTTAATGGTACTCAATCTTAAAAAAGTACTATGCTCCTGGTTTCTGATGGTCTACTACAGCCACTTTACCTGCTGCAATTATTTTTCCCTTTCGTGAGGTGATCATTAGGAGCTCCCTTTTAAGGTGGCCGTGGCAAACTCCCTTTGTATCTACCCCATGGTGGATATAAATCTATGCTCCAGCGAACTCTGGAAGGGCAGTTATTCCTAAGTAGCTTTCTTTGCTCTAATCACTCTATAACCATATTTTACTCTATGTATATTTTGAGGTATAAGTTAAGTACAGTTGTTGTGTCCCCAAATCTGCAGGAGATACATGTCAATTTCTATAGTTGCTTCCCTCTTCACTTGGATGGCAAGAGGTATAAAATATACTGATTATTTTCTTCAAAAAAGAGATCTTGTTTAGCCTTTTCTGATAAATTTCCATGTTAATGAGGGTGATATGCTGAGGGAAACAAAACTATAAATTTTGTATTATAATTTTTGAGTATAGGTATTCTTGGGCATTTCAGTCATTCTTAAAAGCCTCTGCTAAAGTACCAAATACCAAGTAAAACTCACCTGCATCCTTTTAAAGAAGGTACATCTTGGTGTATAAAAGAGGAATTATAGGGGAGATAAGGCCTTATGCTAGCCTTGACTGCAGGACTCTAGGGCCAGAGTCAGAAAACTTTTTTCTGTAGAGAGGCAGAGAGTAAATAATTCAGGCTTTCCAGGCCATATAGTCTGTGTTGTGACTACTCAGTACTGCCATCGTAGTGCAAAAGGAGCCACAGACAACAATTTAATAGGGATAACTGTGTTTCAATAAAAATTAATTTACAGAAAGAGGTGGTAGCAGCCTGGAGCCATAGTTTGCCAATTCATGCTCTAGAGGAACTAAACTTATTAAAGACCATTAAGTGGAAGCAATTTAATTATAGGGCTTATTACAACAGTGAGCTCAAAAAATCTGTGAATTCCATAGGCATGACCTCAATGTCCTGTGTGTGTGTGTGTGTGTGTATGTGTGTGTGTGTATAGCTGTTAAATAATTTTCTTGATCAGAAGCAGTTGTGCTGAACACTGTTAAGATCAATAAGGCGTTGTATAAATTTACTGATGGTGACATTGCTAGAAGCTTTACAGGTAGGGAAGGCAAATCCATATCCACAATACATGTCTATTTAAATGAGTGCAAATCTCTTCTCCTTCTGTGATACAGTGGGTACAAATAAATCAACTGCCCACATGTGACTGGCTGATTTCCCTGGAGATGATGCCATACTAAGTGTTCGCTGAGGTTTTCTGTTGGCGGGTTAGGCACTTATCAGTAGCAATAGCAACAATAGCCATGGCTACTTGATGAGAGACATTTTGCTTAGGCCATGAATAGCCTTCATCCTTTCCACCGTGAGCCTATTGATGAGGTACTACAATGGCTGGGGGTTGAGGCTGACTGATATGCACAGAATGGTTTCTTTTGCCTATCTGATTATTGAAAACTTCTTCTGCAGAGGATGCCTTTTAGTGAGCATTCACATGAACTTTTCATGCTCTGTACCTATTCTGAGAGATATATTCCATGTACTTATTCCCCAGTCTTCCTGGTCAATAATATTCCAATCCCATTCTTTTCAAGTCTTGGACCAGTCAGCCCAACTATTAGCAAGTACACGTGTATCAGGGTAGATACATAGTCTAGCCATCTCTCCACTCAGAAAAATGGACAAACTAATATATATAGGGTTTCACTCCATCATTGTTTTCCAGGACCACCCTGAGAGTAATGCCACAGCATATCATACAGAACATTTTTTAAGAATAGAACACTCATTACCCATGTGATCTGAGCTTCCTATCATGAAATGAGTGTTATATGATCCGATGCTTATGAAACCATAAGGTTGAGCATTGATGGCTGCAATCTATTAAGTAGAAATGATATATAAAAGGTTTAACTTGAATAGTTCTGACAGTCACAAGCAAACTACATGAACAGATGGTTCAAACCACTTTAACATCAATTCCTACTGTATTACTTGCTATTTCTTAATCTGTACCTCTTATATCATTGGATTTTCTGACTCCATGGAGAAGAGCCTAGATTTTCTGAAGAGCTTTGTCTTGCTTGTGTCCCTACTCACAATTGGAAGCATCATGGTTACTGTGTAGACAAACAGGTCACACAGTAGCACACTCAGGTTTTTTTTTTTTTTTTTTTGAGGACACACGTTCCACATTTTATTTACATTTTAAGACTAACTTTAATCTCAAAATCACATATCCCTACACCTATTTCCTTTTTCTTGACTTCACTTAAACTTAAATGTGTGGTTTGTTAAACAAAGACTGTAAACAATATTTACCATGTCTGTTACATGTAACACACAGAACAGCTTTAACAGAAACTCATCAACCCCCCACACACATTTTTTATTATAAATACAGGTATCAAAACAATCCTGAACATATTTTTGATACTACTAGTAGTCAGTACCCACACCGCTTCAAAAATTAACACAATTTGTGACAATATTCATTGTACCTGCTACTTTAAACAATGTCAACTGCAGCTCTTTCACTAAGCAAGATGGATTAACGCATGCCAGTTCTGTTTTTCCTTCTTGAGATTTTTACTTTTCAGAAACACACATGCTTCCACTGCCATCTGACAACTCTTCACGCTTTCATCTTGTAAACCTGAATTCTGTCTCGAGTATTCCAGGTTTATATTTAAATGACAATGCCTTAACAAGAGAAAAAAAATTGTGCTGCATTTTTCCTCCTGTTACCTGAAAACATAATGGGTGTCATATATTAAATATATTCTTATTTAATACAAATGTCCAGGTTATTCTTTTACTTAATGTGTGGGTATTTTGCATTGTGATATTTAATCAAGACATTAACATGAGTAGAAGGTTGTTGATTTAAGACAAGTTTGAGATCCACTAAAATTAATTGTTGTATGTTTGTCCTTCTGGTGGCTGTGGAACTTCTTCATATTTCTTTGGACATCATTAGACGTCTTAGCTCTTGAAGTACAACTTTAATGCTATATGAATTTTGCCATTACTGGAATTATTTATTCCATTCATATTAATTTTTGTTACAAATCTAACTGATGGAGGAGCTTCTGGGTATTTAGATCCACATTTTACTTTCAAGCTGTATATTCTGTTTTCATAATTTGTCCTTGGTGGCCCAATAATCATGCCTGTCCACCTTGTAAGTGTCATATCTTCATCATCTTCTAGGCCCCAGCTAACCGTACCATTGCCTACTCCTTTTTGTCCTTCTTCAAGTTCTTCCAACAAGCGAAAATTACGAGGAACTTTAACTCCTGTGGAGACCACCATCTTCTCCTGCAGCCCGACGCAGCCGCCAGCACACTCAGGTTTTTATTGACTATGAAATCCAAGAGACCTATCAAATGTTGTGTCCTTTTTAGTGACAGATAGTGCAAGATTCAGCAAATTGTCTTTCACAATGGAGGGGACATCCCAGCATGCTCCAGACTCCTAGAACACCAGAAACTTCACTTAGGTAGCAATCTCCTAAATTTTTGTGGGGTTTACCTCCCACATTTTTATTAACACATGTCTTACTAAGGCATTTGAGATATTTGCTATTAATATTTCCTGATCATCAGATAAGAATCAATATAATGCCATCAATGTAATGGACCAGTGTGATGTTGGGTGAAATATTTAAGATAAATCTTTAGATAAGAGTATGAAAGTCTACCATTTGCATTGCTAGGTAAAAGCAAGTTGGTTCTGTATCTGGAATCCAGCATTGCTGTAGCTGCATAAGGGCCATGCCAGATCTGACATAAAAAGGGATCCACTATGCTAAATCTCCCAACTTGGAAAAAATGAGAACAGAGGACCCCAAAGGCCTTTGACATTGAGATATTAACAACCTATGCCATCTTTGTCACTGCCACAAACAGCTACAGCCTAAGTTATTGAGGTTCCCACAGTTATTGCTAATGGTGAACACAAATGAAGAAGCTTCATGAAGACTATACCACTGCATTTTTCTGGAAGTAGAGACACCACACCCTTCCAAGTAACACACTAAAACCAAGGTGAAAGTCTTTATGACAGCCACTCTAGAAAGTTAGGAAGAGGCCATTGTTCCATCATATGCACAGACACCAATGTAGAAACACCAGAAACATGAAAAAGCCAGGAAATATGCCATCACACACACACACACACACACACACACACATCATAACTCTCTAGTGAAAGACCCAACAAAAGAAATCAATAAAATTATGGAAAAGAATTCAAAATAATGCCCTGATGATATTTTCAAAGTGTTGAAAAAAAAATTGTCACTCAAGAATATTTTACTCAGCAAAGATATCCTTCAGAAATGAGGAATAAATAGTCTTTCCTGACAAACAAAAACTGAGGGAATTCATCACCACAGGCCAACCTTACAAAAACATTCAAAGGAGTCCTATGTCTAGAACCAAAAAGAAGATAAGCACTATCATAAAAACACACAAAAATATAAATCACTTGTGGAGAAGATTCACAAAGGAGAAGAAAAAGAATCAAACCTTATCGCTATAGAAAACCACTACATTAAATGATAAAGAAAGATAGGAAAAAAGCAACAAAGGATATACAACACAACCAGAAAACAATTAACAAATAACAGGGTAGGTCCTCACCTATCATAATAATCTTGCATATAAACAGATTAAATTCCCACTTAAAAGAGATAGACCGGCTAAATTAATTTTTTAAGTGACCTTACTATAAGCTGTCTATAAGAAACTCACTTTACCAGTAAAGATATATATCGACGAAAAGTGAAGGGATAGAAAAAGGTATTTTATGTAAACAGAAATCAAAAGCAAACAGGAGTAGCTATACTTAAATCAGATAAAATAGATGTTAAGTAAAAACCTGTAAAGAGGATACAGATAATCATCATATAATGATAGAAGGATCGATTCAACAAAGATATAGCATATAAATATTATATATCTAACATTGGGGCCCCCGATATATAAGTAATATTATTATATAAAGGGAAAGAGACTCCAATACAGTAATAGTTGGGAACTTCAAAATGCCACTCTCAGCATTGAACTGATCATCCACACCAGGGGTCCTCAAACTTTTTAAACAGGGGCCCAGTTCACTGTCCCTCAGACCGTTGGAGGGCCATTGGAGAGTGCAGTGCACATTCCACACATGCGACTGTGGCTCGGACAAGTAGGCTGCTAAGCAGGACAGCAGCACAGCAAAAAACACCAGGCAGGCCAGATAAATGTCCTTGGCGGGCCACATGTGGCCCGTGGGCCATAGTTTGAGGACTCCTGATCTACACAGAAAGTTAACAAAAAAAAAAAATTGGAATTGGATTTAAACTGCACATTAGACGAAATGGACCTAATAGACCTTCACAGAACATTTCATCCAACAGCTGCAGGACACATCAGCACATGGAACTTTTTCCAGGATAGAGCACATGTTAGGTCACAAAGCAAGTTTCAACAAATTTAAAAGAACTGAAATCTCATGTCAATTTCTTTTTACCACAATGAAATAAAACCAGAAATCAACAATAAGAGGAAGTTTATAAATAGTACAATTATATGGACATTAAACAACATGGAAAAACAAGCACCAAATGCACTCACCATCAAACTGGTATTAACTGATCAACACTTACGGCAACATATATAGTAACATTCGCTGGATGACAGGCAGGTGGGACTGGGGAGGAGGGGGTGGGTATATTCACACTTAATGGGTGCGGTGTGCACCACCTGGGGGATGGACACACTTGAAGCTCTGACTCCAGTGGCAAAGGCAATATATGTCACCTAAACATTTGTACCCTCGTAATATGCTAAATAAAAATAAAACACCAATGGACCAATGAAGAAATTAAGAAGAATTTTTAAAAATTTCTAGAAACAAATAGAAACAACATACTAAAACCTATTGTATACAACAAAAACAGTATTAAGAAGGAAGGTTATATCAATAAAGCAGCTACATCAAAAAAGCAGAAAGATTTCAAATGAACAACCTAATGATGAACCTCAAAAACTAGCAAAGCAACAAAAAAACCAAACTAAAAATTTATAGAAGAAATGAAATAATAAAGGTCAGAAGAGAACTAAACAAAATAGAGATTAGAAAAAAAGTTATTTTTTTGAAAAGATAAACAAAATTGACAAACCATTATCTAGACTAATTGAGAAAAAAGAAAAGAGACCCAAATAAATAAAATCAGACACAAAAAGAGGAGATGTTACAACTAATACCACAGAAATGCAAAGGATTATTTGGGGATTACTGCGAACAATTATATACCAAACAAATTAGAAAATCTAGTAGAAATTAATAAATTCCTGGACATATACGATCTACCAAAATTGAACCAAGAAGAAACAGAAAACATAAACAGACCAATTATGAATAACGAGATTGAATCTGTAATAAAAAGTCTCCCATCAAAGAAAAGCCCAGGGAATTTTGTCATTTATGACAACATGGTTGAGCCTGCAGGACATCATATTAAGTGAAATATGTCAGGCACAGAAAGACAGTGCATGTTGCCACCGCTCACATGTGGAAGCTAAGTCGATTTCATAGAAGTAGGTAGTATAATAGTGGTTATTTGAGGTGGGGCAGGGGAGAGAGGGGAGAGAGAAATAGCTAAAGGTTGGTTAACAGACACAAAAGTGCAGGTATATAGGAGGAGTCAATTCTAGTGTCCTATAGCACTGTAGGCTGACTATAATTAACAACAATTTATTTTATATTTTCAAATAGCTAGAGAGCAAATTTTGAAGGTTCCCACACAAAGAAATGATAAATATTTGAGGGATGGATATGCTAATTGCCCTGATTTGGTCATTATACATTGTATACATGTTTCTGAATATTACACTGTATGCCATAAATATGTATAATTATTGTTTCAATTAAAATAATAATAAAAGAAAAAAAGTAATCCAAAAGGCAAAAACTAGACAAACTGAAATACAGAAGCGTGGGGAACAAATAACAGGGGGTATATATTTATATATATATATATACACACACACACACACACACTAGATAATCCTAAATATAATTATAACTTTTTAAGCATTTCTCCCCAGATAATGTAATCTTCACAATATTCTGTAGAAAAATTTGAAGACTCTTCTATATCTCAAAAAAGGTTTTTGAGCAAACAAGAGAATTTTACTTTTTTCTTGTATAGTTTGGGGTACAAAAATGTGTTTAAACTATTACTGTCAGATAACTTGAAAGACCCACATCTTTATAGCAGAAGGAAAAAATGTTTCCCTGAGAATTATAATATCAAGATTAGATTCATATGCATCCCACTGAGTTTTCTGAAAATTTCAATCTCTGTATCTTACTTTGTAATGCAGCAACCTACACTTTGCTCTATAACTAATCAGTAGTGAAAGGGTTGTTTGTTTTGCCTACATGTTGAAGTATTTTAATGTGGCAAAAGGTTCCTCTTTCACACTTCATATTTGTAAATCAAATGATGCAGTTCTTTGGGAGAGGAGAAGAAATTTTATTCAAAGAAATGAAAAGTAATCTGTGTCTTTATTTACATGTTAGCAAATGAGAATTTGGTCTTTCAATCATCTTTCTATATAGAAATTACAGTTTATAGCTGACATCTGTACCAAGACTGGAAACTCTTAGCAGAGGTGGTGGGAAATGTTCAATGACTATTGCAGATAGTGATTCCACAGTCCTACTGCAGATTGCTGGCTTCATAGTTACAAAGGAGAGCCACAATAAAAATAAGCAAAAGAATACTACTGCATAATCACACATAATATCTCCATCATTGTCCAGTAAATCATCTGAAAATTAGTCAAACAATAAACTACAGATCAGAATTTTCTTTTTGTAGCCATGTTGAATATGTTGGAGAAAGTTTTCATGATTGTAATAGGTGGGGGAGTTATGAAAGGAATGTAGGCAATGAATTCACTGGACTCATGAATTGCATCGCCTGGATTAAAAATCAGAAGTTATGGTTGGCCGACTTCATTCTTACCAGTTTGGCCTTTGCCCAAATCAGTCAATTGTAGCTAACAATTGTCAATTTGTTTCAGTGCTGTTCTATCAGGAAATCCCGGATACTGTGGAAAGAAACCATGTCCTTCCAAGTATCTGGAGACTGGTCAACCAAGGGGGCACTTGATTTGCTATTTGTCTCTTTGTCTTTTACTTACTTCCTGAAGATTGTCAATTTCTCCTATCCCCTTTGTCTTTGGCTAAAATGAAGAATTATTTAATAACAAGATTGTTTTCATGTTTCTACTGCTATCTATGCCTTGCCTGTTCATGAGCTTTCCTTTGCCATATAGTTTTGAAGTATTCT